CTGGGATCGAGTCCCACATCGGGCTCCCTGCTTGGCAGGGAGTCTGCTTCTCCCTCTGACCCTCCCCCCTCTCATGCTCTCTCTCTATCTCATTCTCTCTCAAATAAATAAATAAAATCTTAAAAAAAAAAAGGGAAATGCAAATCAAAACCACAACGAGATTATTATCTCACACCTGTTAGAATGACTGTGATCAAAAAGACAAGGAATAACAAGTATGGGCAAAGATGTAGAGAAAAGGGAACCTGTGCACTGTTGATGGAAATGTGAATTGGTACAGCTGTTATGGAAAACAGTATGGAGGTTCCTCAAAAATTAAAAAATAGAACTACCATATGATCCAGCAATTCTACTTCAGGGTATTTATCCAAAGGATATGAAAACACTAACTCAAAAAGATACCTGCATTCCATATTCACTGTAGCATTATTTACAATAGGCAAGGTATGGAAGCAAACTAAGCGTCCATCAATGCAAGAATGGATAAAGAAAATATGGTATGTATATATGTACATATATATACACATATGTATACACACACACACACACACACACAGAGAATTATTATTTGGCCATAAAAAAGGAAATCTTGCCATTTATAACACCATGGATGAATCCTGAAGACATTATGCTCAGTGAAATAAGACAAAAACAAATACTGTAAGATCTTACCTATATGTGAAATCTAAAACAAAACAAAAAGCCTGAACTCATAGACACAGAGAACAGATTGGTAGCAGCTAGAGGTGGGGAGGTGGGGGTGGATAAAATGGGTAGAGGTGATCAAAAGGTAAGGTTATAAAATAAATAAGTCATGGGGATGTAATGTACAGCATGGTGACTATCAATAATACTGTATTGTTTGTCTGAAAGTTGCTGAGAGTAAATCTTAAAGAGTTCTCATCACAAGAAAAAAACTGTTGTAACTGTGGTGATGGATGTTTACGCTTACTATGGTGATCATTTCACAATATATACAAAAATGTAATTGTTATGTGATACACATGAAACTAACATAATGTTATATGACAATTATATCACAATAAAAAAAATTTTTAATTTGAAGCAAATAAGTCATATTATACCCAAGGTCACACAGCTAAAAAGTGGTAGAGCCAGGATTGAAAACCAGTCTAGCTTCAGAGTCCAAGCTCTTAACCACTTCACTAAAATGCCATCAAAGTCACTGACTCCATTAGGTTTGCATCCCTCAACTACTCTACAGGACATGTAAAATATAATCCACAGTAATTAATTCATTCAACACTGACATAACTCATTTGCCTTGTTTTTGTTCCTTGAACACAAGCTTGTTCCCACCTCAGAGCCTTTGTAATTTTCTAAAACACTCTTCCTTCAGATCTGCCTTCCCATCATTATGATTCAACTTAAATCTCGAGATCTGTCCTGACCACCCTACCTAAAATAGCTCTCCCACTATAAATCGTCTATCACATATAATCGGCTTTATTTCTTTCATACTTACTTATCACTATCTGAAACTATCAGTTGTCTATTTCTCCCCACTAGAGTGAAAGTTCCAAGAGAGTAGAGCTCTTGTCTATTTTGCTCACTGGTACATCTTCAGCACGTAAAACAGAGCCTGGCACACAGCAGACAGCTGATATTTACAGAATGGATACCAAAAACTGTGCTGTATGTTGGGATTACTAAAATGAATAGGATACGGTTCTTATCCTCAATAAACTCTAGTCTTTATAAATACTAACTCCTCCCTTTCTATATTAAAGGAAGACTAGCCCTTAATTTTTTTCAATGGCTAACCTCTCCACCTGACATCTTAAACATGTTTCTGAGATCTCTCTTTGACCTCTCCATCAACTATCCTCTCTCTCACTTCTTTAATTTCTCCTTCTCCACTCACTGAACATTTCCCACCCACTCTCCCATATTTGAATATCCATTCCTCAACCCTGCAACTCCCTGTTACCCCAACATCTCTCAATGACTCCTCACATCTCTCTATGACCACTTCCTCAAAAGTTACCCAGTGACCTGGAAAATGTTCTCACTTCTTTAAGCATTTAACACCGCTGAGGACTTTCAATCCACTTTCTTAAGACCAGAGGTGCCACTGTCTCACAGCTGTCTTAATTCTTTATCTCTTTTTTTTTCAGCTTCCTTCACTATCTCCTCTCTCTCACACCTTTAAATTTGAAGCTCACTGGAACTTCATCCTCTATTCTTGCTCCATTCTCTGTCTTTGAAAGATCTCATCTTCTCCTCTAACTCAACTAGTGCTCCTATTCAAATAATTGTACCGTTTATTCACAACCTAAATCCTAGCTCCACTTGCCCTGTCATATTTAACAAAAATTTGATTGAATTCTTAAGCAAATCCTCAATAAAGGATAGTTGCAGGCTCACTTAGATAAAATAATGTGAACTAAAATAAGCAATAATGTTCTGAACAAGCACTAGAAGGCAATATTACACACCTTAAGGTTGGTTTCCATGACTACTTCTTGAAATATTTGAACTAATTCTTCATTAATTGTAATTGACAGGTTGTACAAAAATGGATCAATGACCAAAAATCACTAATAAATGTTATATATCTGATTAATCTATATTAATTTTGTCTAAAACTGTTAATATAGCTCTAGATACACAAAATTGTGTATTTACACAAGTATACTAGTAGAAAGTTAAAACAGAAATACCAGTCACAAATTATGTCTGGAACAACATACAAAATAAATTCAAGTTCTTTGAGAGGGGTTTGTAAAGATGTACCTAAAGTGACATAATTCAGAGACTCACAGCTCAAAATTATACTTATCAGAGCAAACTGTCTAATGACGTTTTGTGCTGTTTTCAAAAACATGAGCAAGAAATAGGTTTGTGCCACTGTGGCCTTCAGTTTAGATAATAAAAGGTAGTTACATACATTTATACCCGTATGATAAACTGCCCAATCCTGTAAACAATTATAGACATGAGAAGACTGGTTTACCCAGAAAAAGTGTGAATAAAGCTCCATCTTCACAACTCTGCAATGGATAAGCGCACCAGTACACAATGGTAAACTACAAATACCTGATGTAACAGCCTAGTCCCTTTCATAATTAAAGGACATCTTGTTATTGCCTAATACACTGCACATTCAGTAAATGCAGTAAACTCTGGAACTTATTTGACAAAATACTACTATGCTTTCCCCATGTGTTGTAAGAAGCTGTGAGAAAAAAAGATGAAGCCAACTCCCAATTACCACTGTCAAAGCCAAGCTGGTGAAACAAGTCAATCATCATCCTTCAGGGTATGTGGCATGTAAGGACATGGAAAAGAACACAATAGGAGAGCCCTCAGCAGAAAGACACCCACATTTTAAGAAAAAGAAAATGAAAGTGATTTAACATCTCCTACATCAAGGAATCTGAAGATACAGCGAGCCTAGTAAGAGATGTAGGAGCCAGTCAAATTTTCTAGTTGGTGGCAACTAAACATTGTATAAGCAGTCATATTTCGAAATTCTACAGCTTTTCCCCTTTCCCTACAAAACCCCTTCACCCCCCTTTACTCTAAAGCCTATAAATGGGAGGAAAGAGAACATAAGATGAAGGGAAATGGCTGATGGGACATCAGAACACAAGTGCAGCTGCAATCACATCTCTAGAATACCAAAAGGTCCAGTTACCAAAGTACAGCTCTAAAAATCTCTATCAGACACCCTTCACATCCACATAAATCTCCTTCTGCACCCCCTTTGCATAAATCTCTTAAATTTAAACTCCATGCCTCATCCAACAGCATGATTATCTAAAACTCATCCTATATATATGATACTATCCTTAACCTATACCATTGCTCCCCTTTAGTGAAAGGCAGATTTTTTTAAGGGAGGTGGAAAGTGGAGGATGGAATATCACGGGGGGGTGGGGTGGGTAGAATACGTGCAAATACCATTGCGGCAGAGATACTGGAAACGCCACTTCCCTCACCACTCTTGCAAATTCTCTCCGTGCAATGCCGTCTTACCCTCTACCAATCCCTCCTCCCTCCTCAACAATACACACACACGTGTCATAACCGACCTGCACCATCACCTTTTCTAACATCACATGCTACCTCCCACTCTCACTAACCCCCCACAAAGCCAGTCACACACACAGGGTAGAAATTGTTGCCACCGCACCCTATCTCAGTAAGTGCTTCCACCAGCCAGCATCACGCGCTTGCAGAAAGACAGCTCAGTAAACAGGTATGCAGACACACATACATGCATACATACATACACACGCACGCACACACATGCGGCATGTGGCCCAAGGAATAGCACTGGAGACGCACCTGGAGGCTGGGTGTCCAGCGCCGCTGCCCCCCTGGTCCCTGTCACTGAGCGCAGCTGTGTAAATCCTCCGGTAGCGGTCGGCCAGGGCCCGGCCTGACAGCAGCAGCTGGTAGTGACCCCGGGAGTCCGCGGCCGGCAGCCCCAGCCCCAGCCCCGCGGCAGCCACGGAGCCCTCGGGAACCGGCATGAACAGCGCCCCCGGCGCCGGGGAGGAAGAGATGGTGGCGGCTGGGAAGAATCCGTCCCCGCCGGGCCCCGAGGAGGCGGCGGCGGGGGAGGCAGTCGCTGAGCACATCATCATCCTCGCCGCCGCCGCCGCCGCCGCCGCCTCGTCCCTGCGGGCCGGGCAAGCAGACACGCGCGCGCACACACAGCCCTTTTCCAACGACGACGGCTCCGGCGACGGCCTCTCGTTCCCGCAGCAGGAGACTACAAAGACAGCGTCCTCCTCCTCCGTCTTCTCCTTCTCCCCCCTGTGCCGCCCTCGCCGCTACTGGGACTGCTCATCTAACCCCGCCACCTCGGGAGTGTGAGGAGGAGGCGGTGCCGCCGCCGCCGCCGCCGCCACCGCTGCCACCGCCGGGGCTACCCGCAATGGGAAGCTGCCGTCCGCACTGGGCATGCGCCACTGCTCGCACATGCTCAGTAACTCCGGCCCGTTTCCCTCCCCACCCCCCCTCGCCACCACTCCCTCTGCCCCAGGGCTTTGGGTGTGGGGCGTTTGAGTTGTGTGGAATCTGAAAGAAATCCACTTCTCCGGATTTTACTAGCAGCTTGAGGAAGAGTAAGGAAAGTGCTGCGAAGGCTGTCAGCTACAGGCTCTTGGCTTCAGGTAATGGGGTTCCTCTCCAGGTGGGAGAAGTTGGACCTGGAAGAGGGAATGCCCCCTCCCCCCCGCCGGAGAATGAGTGTTACGCACTCTTCTGCTACTTTTTCTCAAAGTGTGTGCTGCCATCATGAAGATTTACTGGGAACAGCGCTGGTTAATTCAGAATCAAAGGCAGAGAAGGCCAGCCAAACTGGAAGTATCTCTGGCGATTTTATTTTGGATTTTTTATCATTAGGATTAAAATGGCTTTTATTTCGAAAAACAGGTAGTAAGCTAGTGCATTCTCTTTTCTTTGAAAGTAGAATTCACAGATAAGAAAGTAGAATTCACAGATAATTCACATTCCTAAGTTCTATTCTCAACATTTACCACAGAGCTAAACCTTAATGCTTTTCTGACATATTATGTTGACCCCACACTCATCCTTAGAGTCCACTTTTATCTCTTTGACAGTGGTCACTTAATGGCTTCTCTTTTTCTGCCCAGACTTACATTAGTAGAGATAATTCTTGAATCTGACCTGAAGCTATTAACTCTATGTGTAACATCTGAAAATGTCATATTTACCAAAGATCTTATCATTTTATCTACTAAAATGTAACATTTGCTGAGTCCTTTGTGCCAAGGTATTCTACTAACCCCTTATAAGTAAGTGCTCTAGAAATGCATGTGCCAATGAATTCTGATTCCTAAGTTTTTCCATTTAACTCTCAATTTGAAGAGTTCACCTAATTCATACTCCTGACAAAAATCATTTCCTAATCCTATCATTCCCAGTACTATTTTATCTACTTACTGGCGCTTCTTTTAAAAAAGATTTATTTGTTTATTTATTTTGGGGGGGCTTGCATGCTTGTATGCACAGGAAAGGGGGGACACTCCTAGAAACCCAGGACCCCTGAGACTTTGGCCTGAGCCGAAACCATGAGTCCACTGCTCTACCCACTGAGCCACCCAAGCACCCCTCTACTTACTAGCTTTTAAGTCTATGCCCTTTCCACAAATGTGCTTCTCAAAAAACGAAACCCAAAACCTTGTTTAGTATTTTGAAAAGTATAAACAAGGAGTGGAGAAATAAATTAATTCTAGCTTTTGGGGGGACAGAGTGCTAAAGTAGGGCATTTTACCTGGGGCTTTAACATATGGATGTCATTTTGATTTTAAAAAAATGATAGTTCCAAGTGGGATAATACAAACATAGGGACAAAGGACCGGCATGGGAAGTCATGGTATTTTAGCACTGTGAGTAGTCCTGTTAAACAGGTTTTGTACTTGTGTCCTTGTCCTCAACTATGAGCTCATAAACAAGAGCTTCTTATTTATCTTTGTGTCTTCCTCAGCCCCTAGTCTAGAAACTGGCACATAGTAGGTCACCAGTAATTATTTGTTAAACTAAATTCCTGTCCTGATGCTTCAGCACAGTTTTAAACCTCAGCATTGCACAGGAAGCTCCCCCTCACCCCCAGCCCAAAGACAAGGTAAAGGTATTGAAGCAGTGAAGTGCTAGTACAGTTAAAGGCCTGAACAAGTAGGAGCTGCAAGGGCTCATTACTGTTGATGAGCCAGCCAGGTAGCCAACAGGCTCTGACAAACCAGAATTTAGATCCTGACTAGGCTATTTGTATGTCTTTGGGTAAATTTCATCCTCTGAATAATGGTCAAACTAATGTTGCATGAGATTGTAGGAGGACTTCAAACATCTAGGATGTCCACCTTGGCACATGGCTTTTCACAAATTGTAACACAGAGAACAAAACACTAGACTTTTCCGTGAGGACAGTAACGGTGTCTGTGTCTGTTCCCCCATTACATTCTCAGCTCCTAGTACAGGCTCTGGCCCTAAACAAGAGAGAACCATGTATTGGCTGAATGAATGAATGAATGAATGAATGAATGTCGCCTGCAAAGAGAAGCACTTCCAGTTCAGGTTTAGGTAGTGGCTTGCTCAGGCACAGCCCTTTCGGAGTTTCTAATGGGGATAGAACCCAGCGGTGGCACGGTTCTCAGAGTTCTTCCCACCCTTCAGTTTCGCTTCAGTTTTTACCACACGCTTCTGTCCCAGGCAGGCCTCTTCCTGAGCCTTCTGGGTACACGCAAAAACCCGGTAACTGGATAATTTCCTGCGAAACCCGTTGTCATTGAGCGGTGCAACTAGGCGTGCGCGGAGTCGCACACATGCTCACTTAGGTGGCGGAGAGTGGCGTTTTTGGTGCGGTTGGCCGCATTTCCTTCCACGGCAGCGGCAACGGCCGCTCTACTCCAAATTGATAGCCAATGCAGTTTTTTCTCTTCCGCCGCCTCCTCTTTCCTGCCTGGGCACTGCTGCAGCTACTGCCGTGGCAGCTGGGCACTTGGGAAGGTTCCCTTGGGTTGGTGGGGAATGGGGCGCATGCCGGGAACGAAAGGGCATTTGGAGTCACCCTTAATTCCACTGCCAAGGGGATTTGAGGGGAGGGTGGTCCCCAAGGCAAGTCGCGAGAGGCACCTGAACCGTCGCTGCAGACGGGAGCCGTGGGTTTCTCGCCGCATGCAAAGCAAGAGTCCCCTCCTGCCCATCCTGCGCGTACTACTACTGAATGCCTCACACTGCCTATGTGGTGGGCGTGGGGGTAGGGGGCTCTTGTTATTCAAGAAAATGCAGAATGAAAGAATATAGAGAGATTTGCTTTTGTTTTTCCAGCCCCACTGAGCGCGGCTCCAGTACTTTCCGCGCTGCCATCTTAGCTTTATCTTCTGGCCAGGCTGGGCGGGTGTGTGCCTTTGGTTCGGAGGGAGGGTGGAGGGAGCACTGGGCGGGTTGGGTGTCAGAATTGGCTAGACAAGACTTCTGGACACAATCGCCCGCAAAGAATAACATTGAACTAAGGCAAATCCTGACTTTGCCCATTTTATAAGTGAAACACATGCGTAGTGTTTTTTAGTCTTTGTGGTTGATAATCATGTTCCTTTCTCAAAAGCATCTCTCCTCTGATTGTGTAAGACTGTGGCTTCATCTTTCATGCGTATAATCACAGATTTTGTCTCTCTTTTCCACTTGCAATTGCAAACCTGGGAGTACAATTTTCTAAACTCTTCAGATTTGTATTTTTTGTACTCTATATCTTTAAGGATATTTTTTGGGGGGGTGTTTTTTTTAAAGGAAGCCATCAGCGCCGATGTAGTAAATAACAGGCAGAAACCATAAAGTGTATGTAAGAGGACAATGATTGATGTTGTTAGTTTCATTTAAAAGGTTAATATTGTACTAAAGCTATAAGATTACAAACACAGGAAGCACGTATGTTATGAGGAACACGGAGACTGCTGAAAATGCTGTGGTCAAGTCAAGAGTCGGGTTTGTTTCCCAAATTTGTACAACAGTGTTGGAACATTTAAAAACAAAATTGGTAGCTGAGACCATTTTAAAACAAACTTAGTGGCTGAGAACAATTTGGAAGGAAAAAAATGCTCAAGCTTGAAGAGTGACGAAATATTTCACTCTTTGGTAACCTTCCCTTAGGGACCATGATTCTACATTCTTGACAAAATGACCATATGCACTTAAAATGAAAATTATTTTATGTACTATATTTAATACTCCAAAATGAACAGAAAAAATTCAACATGGTAATTTAAATTCTTTTAAACAAAAATTGCATATTGGATCCCCTAGATATCTTGACCTCTTGCTTTAAACATATGTTATTTCTAGAGCCTTAGAAGATTCTGTAATTTGTAGGCATGAAGAATTAATGCTTTTTTATTTTTATTCATATTAGTTTTTAAAGATACAGATTTTATGTTTTTCTATAAACAAAAATTTAGATTTAGGGGGCTTGAGGTAAATATGGATATTTTCAGCCCTGAAAAATTATTCGAAATGTGAGGATATTCTTTGAAGTATGTGAAATTCATTAATAAATATTTGAATGCAAATCATATTTTAAAAATCTTATTGTTGTGATGCATTTTAGTCCAAAAGAAGCTTTACAAATGATAAAGGCATATAAAGTATAACTCTTTGAAAGAGAAATGTAAGAACCTTGCATTTTAACCTTGAAAACTTCACTGTGGTTTATAAATTATTAGGTTGGTCATTATTACTAAGGTTAAATAGTTTAATAATTAAATCATATCTTCCTAAACCCTAAAGGACTATTGAAATTCTTACATAATAGTAATTTTATCATATCAACATTTCCTTGAAATATATTGTTGTTGTTGTTTTTTATTTTATTATGTTATGTTAATCACCATATGTTACATCATTAGTTTTTGATGCAGTATTCCATGATTCATCATTTGCTTATAACACCCAGTGCTCCATTCAATACGTTCCCTATTTAATTCCCATCACCAGGCCAACCCATCCCCCCACCCCCTCCCCTCCAGAACCCCCAGTTTATTATTGTTTTTAAGATAGTTCTTGGCTAAGCCAGATATCGGGATATAACTAAATGGCTCTAAAATGATTATACTAAGCGTGATCTTATTTTAAAGACATGTACCCTCTTTCAGGCTATGTTTTCTCATCAATAAAATGAGGATAATAAGAGCACCTACTTCATTAGATTCTTTGAGGATTACATTAAATAATATATATGAAGGACTTGCTTAGCACACTACCTGTCAGGCATAACTATTATTATTAATAGTATGTGTGGTCTCCCTTATTTGAGGTGTATCCCAATCTTGTGCCAGAGGAAGAAACAAACAGTTATACACTTTGAGTTATATACACTTGGATTTGGAAGTATGTTTTTTTAACAGAGTCCTTTTCACAAACACAGATTTACTGTATCTTGACATGACAAGAAGAATAGAATCCAAAGATTGTTTCCCTAAAACACTCTGCTCTCCTATGATTTGTTAATTCACAAAACATATTGCTTACTTTCATTAAGTTCAGTGAGTTTTTGGAATTCTAGCTGATGGTTGTTGCATTTTGACACATAATAGTCAAAACAGATCATAGTTTCTTCTCAAATGGCTGGTGGCTATGGTACACTTCTAGGGTCAAAAAT